GACGTTGTTAGATTCTTTGGCGAAGCTCCTTCAGCCAGAACCCCACCAGACAGACTGGGATTTACAAATTCCGTTTGCACTAATGGCCTACAGAACGGCAGTAAATGAATCCACAGGAGAGACGCCAGCTATGTTGATGCTAGGTAGAGAGCTGAAACTTCCTCTGGAGACATTAATTGAAGTCCCACCAATGGATACCGAGGAAAGTGACTATGTCACTGATTTAAGAGAGAAACTTAGTGAAGCCCATGATCGTGCACGAGCGAAACTTAAACTCAGTGCAGAAAGACAGAAGGTGGCGTATGATCGGAAGTTGGCTGGACATTCTTACAGTGAAGGAGATGCTGTCTGGTATTTGGACAATACCAAAAGGAAAGGAGTGTCGCCAAAATTGGAGAGTAAATGGAAGGGTCCTTTCCAAATCATAAAGAAGATCTCCGATGTCACCTATCGAATACAGATCAAAGGCAAGAAACCAAGAGTTATTCACTTTAATATGCTCAAGCCATATGAAGCTGAGTTGCCAGATGATTGGCGTAAACCAAAGTCACAGCCAGAGATAGTTATGGAACCTCTTACAGATGACCCCGTGCAGGAGTTAATTACTGACAAGGTTCCATGTTCTTCTAAGCCTATCTCTAAAACTGTGAAATGGAAGGATCAGGAAGAAGAGCCTAAAGTAGAGCCTGAAAGAGACTCTCAACCTATTCTCCCAGATGAAACTCCAGACTCCAAGGAAACTGTCAAGACATCACCCAAGAAGGAAGTGGATGACAAACCTTCCAGGAGGGAACGCAAACGTCCCAGACACTTGGATGATTTTGTGGCTGAGGTTTCTGAACATAATGATGTGTATAACCAGCCTGGAACAAGCAGAGATAGTCATTAGTCGAGGCCGTATTCAAGGTCACCTGACTACAGACATGATTTGAGATCAGATAATTATGGTCCGAAGTCAAGGAGATCGGAATACCGACATGACAGAAATCGATCAGCTCATTTTTCTGATAGACATTCCCGATTGAGACACAGAGCATCAAGTGAGCTTAACAGGACAAACTGTACTCGTGAAGCAGACCTTCCAGACAGTTTCCCGCGTCACAGAAGGGTTAGCCGGGATCAGGATTGGAGATCCAGAACCCATGATAGACGATGGAAGTCCAGGTCTCAATCATCCAGGAAGCGCTACAAAAGAGAGTAAATTCACATGAGTATAATTTTAAATATGTGAAGTGAAACATAGTTAGGTGTTAACTTGTTATATATCTAGATAACTTTAGATAGTTAGATATTCAAGTAATTAGAAACTTGAACATTGTACTGATAGTTAGTTAACCCCGGGGTTGAACATCATTGACAGGTTAAACATTTTTTGTAAGTTATACATTTTGTAAGTCTGTAGTTAGTTAGAAAGTACATTTATGTCTTAGCTTGGTACGAGGACGTACCAATATCTTGGTAGGGGGGAGTGTAACGGAATTTTAAATGTAAAATTTTTGATTTTTGATAAAGTGCTGTATTTTTGTACATTAGGTAATTATTACACTTGGAAAGTAATTTCCCATTGAGATTATTAAGATTTATAAATGTAGTATCATTTGCAGCACTTAGGTTGTACTTACAGAGGTGAAATAGTTCACATGTTTTATTTATCTGATCACGATTTTGTTTATGTTGATCGGGCAGTCTTATCTGGCAGTCTAATTTGTAGTTGATCGGTAGTCTAACATGACAACTTTATTATTTTACTTCCTGCTTTTGATTCGATTGAATCGAAGAGAAATTAGACTAGATAGTGATTAATTACTGTTATATTTCTTGAGTCAATATTATAATCTTGCTGTATGATCAATATTGAAGCGAAATATGGCGTAAATAAGCTGTAATTCACAGTTGAAATCTTGTACGAAAATTAATGACGTCATCGGACCTATATAAGTATCTCGCTGTTGAAGGCTCGTCAGTGCGATGCCAGATGTTGTCGAGGAAGGACCTCCAGAGCGGAATTTCGGGAAACAGCTAAAATCTTCTAAGTTTTATAGAACTTAGTCGATTTTGTGGTGTTGAGGCTATACGTTTGCAGTATACACAACATGAAGATAGAAGCTGTACCTTAGTAGAATACATCTGATGAGCCAAGCTATACGTTTGCAGTATACAAGGGCAGATTGAAGAAACTAAGTGTGGGAAACTTAGTTTGTTTTGGAGATTGGAATTTTGGGAAAACTTTGATGCAACTAAGTGTTTGAGACTTAGTTTATTTATCGCACTGAAAGTAAGGGAGATCTACAAAACTGGACAGAACTTCAACAGGGTGAAGCTATCCCCAGCGCAAAGCATTAGACGTATTGTCCAGCCTTCATAGACTGAGAGGAAATGCTGACATAACTTGTGTTTGAGAAACAAGCTATTTTGATCATCAAGGAACTTAGACGATTTACAACATTATTGGACTTAGTCAGTATTTGGTGAAACATTATTTTGGACTTTGTTATTTTTGGAGATAGAAATATTTAACTTAGAATATTTTAATATCAGTATCACTTAACATTAAATGAACTTAGTTATTTTAAAGGTCAAATATTTTCACATGTTATATTTTTGCATATGTCGTTGTGTGCATGCTATATTTGTAGGTAGCCTTATTATTTAATTGTGAAGGAAGTAGGCTACATGGACTTAGCAGTTGATGCCGTGTTTTAGATGTCCTTGGACTTGGTAGTTTGAAGATTGTGATAGTTTGACTTATACATCTATAGAGATAGACGTTCTGGGACTTAGCAGTTTATTCAACGAGATATTTTGACTTTGATGATTTTGGGTCATTGAAGTTAGAATATACATCTACATTGAAGAGGTTCCAGGATTTAGCAGATTATTCAACGAGATATTTTGACTTTGATGATTTTTGGTCATTGAAGTTAGAATATACATCTACAGAGAGGACGTTCCAGGACTTAGCAGATTATCCAGCGAGATATTTTGACTTTGATGATCTTGTGTCATTGAAGTTAGAATATACATCTACATTGAGGAGGATCCAGGTGATAGCCGTTCACAGAGCTGATAGTTTGACTTGGATTATTTCATATAATCAAAGTTGAATTATACTACAACTTAGAGAGAAGGATCCAGGAGATAACCATTTACAGAGTTGATAGTTTGACTTAGATTATTTCACATAATCAAAGTTGAATTATACTACAACACATTGAGGAGGATCCAGGACTTAGGAGTTTACACAACTGATAGTTTGACTTAGATTATTTCACATAATCAAAGTTGAATTATAATACAACACAGTGAAGAGGATCCAGGAGATAGCCGTTTACAGAGCCGATAGTTTAACTTAGATTATTTTACATAATCAAAGTTGAATTATACTACAACTCAGAGAGGAGGATCCAGGACTTAGGAGTTTACACAACTGATAGTTTGACTTAGATTATTTCACATAATCAAAGTTGAATTATACTACAACACATTGAGGAGGATTCAGGAGATAGTCGTTTCCAGACTTGATAGTTTGACTTAGATTATTTCACATAATCAAAGTTGAATTATACTACAACACATAGAGGAGGATCCAGGAGATCGCCGTTTACAGAGAAATAGTTTTACTTAGATTATTTCACATAATCAAAGTTGAATTATACTACAACACAGAGAGGAGGATCCAGGAGATTTACGTTTACAGAGCAATAGTTTGACTTAGATGATTTTACATCCTCAAAGTTGAATTACACTATAATCCAGAGAAGAGGATCCAGGAGATAGCCATTTACCGAGCTGGTAGTTGACTTAGATGATTTCACATCATCAAACTTGAATCATACTACACTACATAGAAGAGGATCCAGGAGATTACTATTTCAGGTTCAAGTTACAAGTACAATACAAGACTTACAAGGGTTACAACATATATGGACTTTTAATATTGGAGATACAACAGTGGTATATAGTGATCATCAACTTTAGTTTATATGGACTCTGGATATTGTGTTATTAGTGATTATTATTAGCTTATATGGACTTTTGAGTTGTGAGTTTTGAGAGAGATATTAAAATCGTAACACTCTTACAATTAGACTTGAAATTTAATGTACATCTTTATTTGGGCTTATAAACGCCACAATATACTGTTTTATATTTATATTTAATTGTATATGTCTGTTTAATTCTTTAGGGACAATCGCACATTTAACGTGTGCCGTGTAACTCACCAAGTAAACACCGTTTACTAAACAGTGGGCCTATTATAAGCCACGCTACCACGTATATCCACAAAAATAGGCCAAACTGTTACAATATATATAGGGTGGGCAAATAAAAACGGGACACTCATATACATCCTAGTTGAGAGCTTATATGAATTAAATGTATGAAACGTATGAAAATAAAGTTCCAGGATTGGTGGATGTACCTATAAATTTCAAAGGATACACGTTTTCATTATTTTTTTGCTTGGCACGTGGTACCTGACCGCCGAAAGCAGATATTAAGATTGTGAAGAATTTATTTTAAGGTAAAATTCATTATTTTTCACTATTTTTACATCGTTTTTCTTTAATTTAAATTCAAAAATATTGTAGCTTTTTAATATGTTTTTGCGCCATTCACCCGAAGAATCCTAAGCATTTTTGAAAAAAAGCATTTTCTCTTACCTACACAACCTAAAATCTTCACAACTTCTACAGCATTCGAGATATGTAGGATATGAATATATCTCATCAAAGTCCATCAGTTTGCCAATCTTTTGGCATGCTACCGATGGTTTATTAAAATGATCTTATTTTTAAGAAGGATGTGGTGTCCCGTTTTTCGACCACCCTGTATATAATACTATGAAAACAAAAGTTTGTGTTCTTCTTAGCTCTCATTACATGATGCCAGCATATATTCATCAGCAGGGTGACCACATTGCTGTTGTCAATGTATGTAACATCTGTCAATTTGAACAATGTTTTGTAGCTAGAAAGTCAATGTCATAAATTCTTTACCTGAATGTATGTATTGTTTTAGGCTTGTGGTTCAGTCTCTGTAACAGATGCCTTTTGTTGTCGGGCACTCCACCCTCAGTTAGGTTCGTCTCAAATGCTGGTGTTACTAATGCCTGGATATGTACGTAAGTAATAAAGAAACCCAGCAAATACCAAAAAATAGCATATGGAAATAGACTTTTGTTTGTAAAGATATTTAAAAAATAATCCACATATGGCCAAAGGTTAAAAAAGATGCGCGGTACTAGATTACTTACCGTTCGAGTTACATTCCAGTTGAATTGGTGTATATGTTTCTTTATAAGCTGATATGCATCCTTATTTGGAGTGAAATCGGCATCAATCATCCAAATATGGGAAGTATTAGCACCATATAGAGCAACGTTTCTCATAAAGTTTACTGGATAATGTATCTGTAAATAAAATTGAGATTATTAATAATTTTAGTTTATTTACATGTGGTGTTTATATGCGTGGAATGTACTATATACCAAAATCTCAAAGAAGTATCCTATAACGATATTACAAACGCTTCAAAACGTGAAAGTAAAGACCATTCTATTTTGGCAGGGTCTCGTTTCGTCCCTGAAAGGTGTATCACTTACTGCATTCCGTTGATATACTACGTGTATCCCAACATTTTTTCGTTTCCAAGAGTGTGCCGTATTTAGGAACTTTTTAACTTCTTTATCAGTTCCAAAAACAGATACACTTGCAGGCCCAGGCCACTGTGCAAGAATCTTTCCAATTCTATGTATACCTCTAGAAAATGTACAAAACAAGAAGAGAATCATGTAGCTACAGTATGTAAGGTGGACGACCTACTCATTTTAAGTATTGTATATTTGGTCACTGTTTTTACTACGAGACAACTTAAAATAGGAAATAATGAAGAATAAAAAGCCACGTAAGATATGGCAAACATTTTCAAAGGCCTATATCTTTAGTTCGAAGAATACGTTAATCACAAAAACAAATGTTTCTGTTAGATCCATGTCTTATCTTCAAAAATGACATTAGGATAATAATCAAGTTGATTAGATTATCTCTTAAGCTGTCCCTAATCCACCCATCTTCACTAATTTTCCCTAATTCTGACGCAATTTTCACCAAAAATGCAGCATTTTATTTCAGCTTTTATGGCAAACATTTTTTTACAGTAGATTGAATTTTTCAGAAAATGTGCCCAATATAGTGCTCTAAATGATACAATTTTGAAAATTTGATGTCATTCATAGAAAGAGAAAAAACATTAAAAAACATTAATTGAAAAGCGATCTATTTTCCTTTTTATGACCGCCATTTTTGTTTCAGACAATTTTCTAAGATTTCAAAGATTGTATCATTTAGAACGATTTTCTGAGAAATTCAAAAGATTCTGTTCAATGACCTTTCCTAAGCGCCTACTTTTAGCTATTTTTTAGTCACATTTTCAGAGAGCTGAAAAGGTTATTGCATCACGTTTAGGGTCATTCTGACCATTTCCATTGTGTTCCTGGTCATGTAAATGATATGTGGAACTAGTTATACTGACTTTAGGTCAAAACAGAACTCTTATCTTGGTTAAAAAAAATTCAAAATCCAGCATGGTTTTGAAACTTTTTTGTTTTGTCACTTCCTGTTAACTATTACCGCAGCTTAAGGGCATTCTTGGGTGGATTTGACCTAGGATGAAGAAACTACATAGTTGACCACGGGCTTTGGAAGCCCATGATAAGTAGTATTCACGAATTCAACTAACAGCTGCCACATCAACCTACTATTTAATCGCTCAGTACCTGCCACTATTTCATTCATATTAAAATGAATTTGCCATTAAAAGTAGGTTAATCGTCGCCTGTCACCCAACATATGACTTCATGCATGCTATCAAAGTGTACTCTAATACCGAGTGAGCCAAAAATGCAACCCAAACAAATTGTTAAAGTGTTATTTCGCATAATAAAACCTTGTTTAATGTTCTTTCATTTTACTAAGTTTCATTGGCCCTGCCCCAATGGTCAGGATTTTATGGCTATATACGAAACATGGTCCAAAATGCCAGCCTCATCTCATGACTACAGGCTATCTCTAAGATAATGTCAACACGTACAACCCTAGTTGAGTGTTTGAAACAGTGTATTTATGACACTGAGGTACCCTCTATTTTGTTATTGTATAATAGTAGTATGAAGCACTTTATAATATCAGAAAAAATACTGATAATTTTTCACGAAAAAATTACCAAAAAGTAGGTTCACAATTAACTTTTCCCCTTTACAGTTTAAATCATGTCTAAATGTTCAATACACTAAAAATCGGTGAAAATTGCGTCAGAATTAGAGGAAATTGGTGAAGATAGGTGGATTAAGGACAGCTTAAGAGATAATCCATTCAACTTGATTATCATCCTAATGTCATTTATTGAAGATAAGACATGGATCTAACAGAACCATTTGTTTTTGCGGTTAAAGTGTTCTTCGAACTAAAGATATAGCCCCTTGAAAAAGCTTGTCATATCTTATGTGGCTTTTTGAATTGTTTTTGTTATTCAAATCGCACAGAAGGACTATTTTCATTTTTCTGACTTACTTTACAGCTAATATAGCAATATTTTGCAAAGCTGTCATTTTTAACATAAGATACGAATTAAGTATCCCGATTCATAGGATATTGACCTCCAAGTCACAACAAACTAGTTTTCAAATGGTCGCCCCATCCCTAAAAATCGAAAAAAAGCTGTCGAGATGAATGTCCTCAGAACGATACTTAGTTCCTCTTCAATACACGAACTTACTAAAAAGAGTAGACATTAGTTAGTGAAAGCACAGAAGGAAAGGACTGAGGTAAAAATGAGTCCACTGGGGCCCAGTTTGCCATTTAAAACTTTCGTTTGAAGATAAAGAGTGGGTCATAGTGTATATATTGCAACTGTTATTTCCACTATTATAACACCAGTGTATTTAGACATCGACATGCCTTAAATCATTTACAAATCCAAGCCATACCTCCCATTCTTTACATCTATTATTTCCATTTAGCACCATATTCGTCCCAGGCCCTTATAATCGACAATCTACAAATCATAGCATTATTAACCATAATTATAAATCTGATACCTGTTTAGAGTTAGATGAGTTAATAAGGTGACATCTATAGGCGATGGGTCATAACTGTATCGAAACACAAAATACTTGACTTTGTGACGTAGTTTGATCTCGGAGATAAGACGCTTACAATTATCGTAAGTGCGCCCTTTAATCTTTGGAAAGGAACCATTTAACGTTCGCAGAAACGTTGCGCTTAATTGTTTCTTCTTGGAATCGTTTGTGTATATCTTCTTATTAGTCTCTATAAGCTGTGTTAAATGTGTTAAATGTGTATTTATTTCTGCAGGTTCTCGATCTTGTTGATGTATTGCTTTTGGTTTTTCCTTCCCTCCATCTTTTTTATAATCATGCATTGCAGCAGTGGAAGTGAAGTTTGGCGAGTGCTTATCTACAAATAGAGAATTGAAGGAATAAGAGAGGAATCAGCAACGTGATGTACACACGTATCATATCAATGTATGGCTTAGCTTCAGTGTTTATACCTCTCTCTTTATATATTTACGAAAGACAAACTTTTGTGCGTTACCTTGCATTTTAAAATCAGTTATTTACAAATATTGTTAAATAAACAGAGTAATAAAATGAGTGCATTAAATGAAAAAGTTGTATTCTACAACGTAATGGAGTGTTACATTTTTTATGATATCGTTAAAATACTAAGTCTTGCTAAATAGAGGTAAATCAAATTATCAGAAATGAAAATATTTGTCAATAACTTAAAACTTGGGCTGTACCCTTGTTTTAAACGTACTAAAGTTAATTAATGGAATATTGCCAATTCTGCCAATTGGAAACGTAAAAATGCGAAATGAAGCGCAACTTTGCGCATGCTTCTGAAGCCGTTAGATGGTTTCCGAAGGGGTACTTCTGCATACGAACGCCCCGACGATGTACAACGTACATAAACTAATGGGAACAAATTATACTCAAGTCCTATTCGCCAATACACGACTTTGAAGTTGACGTCGGGAGTTTTCGTTCATACGTGAGGTCTTAAACGACAAAATACTAATCGCGGACGCAATAGCTCACAAGTGCATCCATACGTACACCAAAAGCTACTTTGGAACGAATTTTACCAATATATGTGTGAGGATGACTTAACGGCGAAAGCCCATTCACATATGAACGACCGAGGTGGTGTGAAAAATAGCTGAACGTCTTGTAAAATGTGCCTGTATATCATTACATATGTTTAAATAAATGAATTAAAAATGTCTAGGATGTGCAATATCTAACATGTATAAATTTCGCCCTTTCGTTGTACCGTACCATGCACATGCGTCCATCACGCATCAGCCATGTGTTATGTAGGTACGCCCTCTATGTAACCTAAATCTAATTGATCTAGGCCTATATAAATCAATAATTCATTCAGATCAACTTGGATATTTTGAAAAGGCCAGGGACGGGCTTTAAAATGGTTTATTTGAACAACTATTTTTGAAGAATATAAAAATCCATTTCCTTTGAGATTTTTAGGTTCAACTTACTCAATTCGTGTGTGTATCGACACAGTGTTAAGAACATCGAATGTGACATACCAAAAGAACCAATATGGTACACAAATATATATTTATTCGCAATCCTAAGGTGTTGGCTTTTTATCAATGATATGTGTTTTAGTACATATTCTGCCAATGTACAAGACTTTTTTAACAACTTTAACAGTAAATGAAAGTCAGAACTATTTCCTGCTTAATTAATGCCCATCTTAGAATTAAAAACCCATACAATATTATTTGAGTCTGATTTGTCGATCTGATTTTATCTGACTAGCCATTAATTTAATTCTTTATAATTACGTAGATACAACTTATGTTTTACGTCCTGTGTCACCTGTTTATTAATAAGTAAAGGACTGGTTTTGATTTGGGGTGAACTAAATTCAACATTTTTCATTTAAACCGTTTATGAAGAGAAATCTGAAAAATAGGCCAACATCCTCAATGAAATGGTCATCGGATAGCAACAATTTGAGCTTGTGGAAGTAAAGAATATGCAGATTAATTTTAACTCCATCGGCCATTTTTGAATAGCACGTCTTCCAAGTAAACAAATACTGTTAATAGCAAAGTTTAACATATGAGGGTTTCAATCTGAATATTTTCATTCAAAATTTTAAAAAAATCAGACTAGATGATAAACTCTAAAAAAAGTAATTGGTGTTATTTCATAACTTTGCACGAAAAAGATAAGAGAAATTACCAATAATGTGTGCCATTTTCCGTATTTTGTAAGCTTTATTTGAGATACTGTCGTTCATTTGTATGTTGAGTACATCTCCCTGGATCATTTTCACTCCTTCGAATATTGAGGTTTTTGAATATACGACAAATAGTCCAATAAGAACCAATCCAATCCAAATTGCTTTAGTTTTCGATTTAAACCATGATATAAGATACATATTCCCATTCATAAGTATAGAAAACTACTACAATGATAACGTGTCCGAGTTGGTAAAGATCCACAGTTGCATCGTACGTGTTTCTTTTATCATCGATATAAGATACAGATTTGTCCCTTTGATTATTTTGGTTCAAAATTAGTAACATCTGTATTACAAGTATTAGGCCATATAACGTAGATTATTTGTTTTACATCCCCTGCCAGTGTGATTTTAAGTAAATCAGAAGAACAAATACGTTCAAATGTCGTTATGAAGCCAAATAACGATTCCCGGGTATTTATCCCGAATGTGACTTTGTCAAATAGTGCATATTTTGGTCTATGATAACATGTGATATAAATATTTGTAAACATTTCCCAACTGGTCTGTGTATTTAATGAGTGTTTGCTTTCTTTGCACCAGTGACCACTTTGCTATTTACCAAGACGCAATACAAAGTATCAAATGCCTAATCTCATGTTTCATTTATTCACAAGGCCTAATCAATAACTTAATCTGCTCTGGCTATTTTAAACAGAATACCACTGTTTCATCGAATCGAATTCAGTACTACCTCCCACTTTTGTATGTTTTACTGCACTTCAATGCATTAACAATGGGTTTAGTATTTTAAAGAACGCCATTTACACCCCTTCCTTATGATCATTCCGTGGCACTGAATTTGAATACCTTACTACGGAATATAAGTGTTCGCTTCGGTAAAAAGTAAAAATAAATAGAAAAGTTAATTTGTCATAAGTTTTTAAAAACTCAACAAATGGATAGATTCCACTTGTCGGGTACGGGTATATTACTTCTACGTAAACTGAGCACCGGGTAATTGTCACTAGTTTGTCCATATATGAGTCAAAACTCAACACGATTGAATATTGATCATAAAAGAGTATATACCGTTCCTATATTTCTAATTTATTAAATTGTATTATTACCACCTTGCCGGGCCAGTTCCAGGTGTTTTAGTGCTAGTTAAGAAGGCATTCATTTTACTATATCGACCTGAGCAATATGTAACGTCAAAGTGGTGGTAAATATTGCTTTCATTCTGACGCTAATCTTATTTTATTCAAGATTTAGAACTTTGAAAGTACACTTCATGATAAAATATTGATTCTAAAAAGATCCACAGATGCTTCATTGTGAATTCGTAACTTTTCAGAAAAAATCTATTATCAAGATTGAATTAAATGGCCAATTACTATGTTGTAATATCCTGATGTCGAAACGATTTTGCTCCTACTAGACATCCCGTCCTTGTTATCACGGTGTTATAGCATGACGGTTACGACACGTCTGAAAACAAGATTAGCCGACTACGATCACTGATTTATCCAATAAAATGGCCGCGATGGAACAGAAAACTAAGGTTGGTGCATTATTTTCTTCTACAGTGTATCAATGAAAGGATGAACGATTTTTGTAGGCATCGCATTCGGTGGTGCATTAAGTTATGTATATTTTGAACGTATTCTTTGCAAATTGATGCCCGGGGATAACATGAAATAAGCGAAAAACTGTTGATTTTGAAATTCAAAACTACACAAAATTAAGTAATTTGCTTTTTTTGTCGTTAGGGCATGGTCTACATTGCCTAACGACCTCGGGGTATATAGATGTAACCTACATACGATCATAAAAAGCCAATTGAGCATTGGAAACCACCTAATATGTTCTACTCAATCAAATATGTATCCCAGATTCATTGTTATAAATTTTGTCATATTCATCAGTACTTGATGCTAATTCATCTTTTGCCTCTTCATTGCTATCTTTTTGACTTAAATCAGTTTCATAAATAAAGCAAGATACATTGTTTTCCTTGCCCTATAGAGGCTCAAACAAGAGCGTCTCTTGCGAGTCCTGAAAACAAAAATATAATCAATTCAATATTCCGTTTCTTTCCCATTATAACAATTACACGGAAAGAGGCTATCAGAACTAGCAACCTTAACTTGAAAGATGTACATGCACGTAACCGTCCTCTAAATATCTAATGTACATCGAATACAATACGTTACCGTCCATAGAATTCATACGTAGTCGTCTAACGACATTTCGTTTGAAACCTTATTATTTACAATATGACCACGTTCCTGTTCTGGATTTGTCATTTTATGGCTTGTTTATACACAGTTTACTTACTGTTAATAGTTTGAGTGGCTCTGAAACACAAATACTGAGACAACACGAAAATGGACTAAAAATTATGAACTTGGATATCTCAGTCGGTAGGTTTACAGCTTATATTCTGCTTCTTGTAGACCACCTGGCAGATTTGACCCAGTGTTTATAACCATCCATTTATACATCACCGAATGGAACTAGTTTAAAAGGAAATCTTATCTGTTAATCTTGCCTACAGGCGAGAAAGGGGACATGCTGCCTTTCCAATCCGCCATTTTTTGTTATCGTTACCGCAAAATTTTGCAAATCACCTTGTCGTAACCGTCATGCTATAACACCGTGGTAATAGTTTCGAACGGGGCACATGCTTTGATCACGTTTGCTACGATTTTCACTACGGAGCCAGGCAGATTGAGTATTTTGTTCAAAATTGAATACAAAGGACTAGTATTAAGATGGCAAGAGATTTTGGACAGCTGTATTTTTGGTCACGGATATTTCCCGACCATACAATGAACATTTTATATTAAAACAATATCTTGACTTCAACAAATGTGCATGAAAAAAATAAAAATCTCATTTTAATAATGAGATTAGCCATGGATTAGTAAGCCACCTTCAATAATATTGACCTTATTACTGAAAAAGATTACCATGATTTTTCATATTTTTTGCAATATAAGATTACACTGTAAGGTGGCATTCACTTCATATAAGGGCATGTGGATTGAAAAGTTAATATGAAAGTTACATGGCAATGAGGATTATCCAATGGGAAATCCCATGTTATGGAGTTCGCCCTGTCCATCTTTGAAAGTTCTGTTTACCCATCTGCCATCTTTGAGAAAATCGATGCATTAATGAAGGAACATTTGTAAATGTATGTATGTGTTGACAGCTAATGAATGCATGACAGTTTGCTAGGTCATGGGAAACCAATATAATCCATTATTTATGTGAGGGGATTTAATTCAATACCAGAGTATCCAATGAGGCATGAATATAATAACATTGACTGACTTATACTGGACCTATGAAAAACTGATGTACAGTAAAGCTATGTATGAATGTGAAAATGTATGAAAAGGGGATGGATTATGATACTGATTTTGGTAACAGTTCCACAATTTGTAATCCATTTTTCAATCTCTGACAATACCACATGTGCTATTCTGACAGTACAATACCACATTTGTTACTCTGCCATTGCAATACCACATGTATTTCTCTACATTGTAATATCACAAGAGTTACTCTGACATTGCAATACCGCATGAGTTACTCTCACATTGTAATACCACAAGAGCTACTCTGGGGAAAATTCAATTGAGTCTCATTAGATACCAATGCAAAATAAAATGACCCATTGAAATTTACGAGTATGTGATTCTGTTGTCCTATTGACGTTTTCAAGACTCAGTCAGATTTTGTAGTACTGAGACTCCACTGGCAAATATATACACTTACTAAAGTCTCACTGAAGTACAATTATCCCTTTATAAAAAATAGTGGACACGCCACTTGACTTGGGATTTTGAAAGATCTGAAGCACATGTAAAATTATAACACAAAATATTGACGAATATTGATATTCTTTAAGATTGACAAATATTATAATGATTTATACCCCTTAGTATAATTATATCATAACAAGCTGCATGCACATATGAATTCAAAGTCACTCAAAATAGTCTCCATTAGCATCTATACATCGTTGTTGTCTCAACACCCATTCATCAAAGACATTTTGAAATCCACTTTGTTCAGCCTTTCTGAGAATTCTCTTTGTTTCAGTCAAGAGTTCCTGTTCTGATGCGAAGTGCTGTCCCCTAAGTCCCTTCTTTAAAACACCATACGCCTCCTGGATATACTGCACTATATCTTTTGCTTGTTTCCCAAGCAATACAAATGTTCTTATTGAACTCCTTTGCTGTAGTGCCAGTTTTCAGGACTTTTCCCTTTTTTGAGGGAGTCTATGATCATTATGACTCATTGGATTCCCTACTTTTGAGAAATTAACTGTGATGTCATACCATTTAGTAACCATAGCAACATACACACAAAACATAAACACAAAATATAAAACATAAACACAAAAAAAATTATGCTTCGAAATCCACTATACTCAAGAAAGATAGGGGTATAAAACATGTACTGATGGGCCATCATTCTTATCGATTTGGATCCAAGTCAAGTGCTGTATCCTCATGTTGCTATGGCAACCAAATTACTGGTAATTATTAGTTATATCTGGTGATTTTCCGCATATGAATAGACAAGTGTATTTTCAACATATGGTGAAAATTTTAAATAAAACAAGCAAAATTTGACAAAATGAGAGCCTTAGTGTCATTACTTATTGAACGGCCTATACTTCACAAAAGTATTTTACATGTATGGTATGGTACATTGCCATAATCATTGACCTTGTTATGTTGCTGATACTTGTAAATTGTATGTACAGGGTGAGCCAAAAAAGGTAACCCTAACAAATATTAATAAATCAGGTTTTGTGTCACATTTGGCACAATTAGGCCTTGTCCAATATATTGTCATTCTAGTTCTACCAAGTTTTAATGGTCTATTTCTAGTGGTTAAACTTTTATGGCTATTTAACAAAACATGCCACAAAATATGGGATTCATGTTTGAAGACCAACTTGAATGATTTGGGCTTAGTTGTACACAACACGCTCATAAACATCTTGTGTTATGGCTCTTATCTTCCTTCTTATCTCTTGTTTCTATGTTTCAAGGGATGTTAGTGTAGAAAATAGGCCCAAAGATAAAACTCTGGTGGGATTTATGTCAGTCGGTGAGACACATTTCGGTATTTTGACCATGTTCTGTAAAGAACCATAAAATCGTGACTACTATAGATAGACCAATGACACTTAGTAGAATGAAAGAACATTGACCAAGGTTTTAACCCAATTTATTCTGATTTACTTTTCACCATTGAGTGTAGGCAA